TAATCTATACTCCTGACCTTATAACAAAAGACGGCTCTGTTATACTGCTTTTGTCATGATGTGTGGGCTGACAGGTGACAGAATGTTGTTTTGTAGATAAGATAACTCAGACTCTCCAACAATGTAATAAACAACTGTAGTCATTGTTTATGAATCCCTTGCACCTTCACACTGCGCCTTTGTCACTTTATCTTCTCATAGATGTTGTTTGTGGCGTTCACAAGTCAATACAACATTAAAATTAATATCTATGACATGAGATCTTCACTTAGCTTACCTACTTCTATCACAAATTCCTTGGTAAAGGAATCCAACAATACTGGCATTAACTGTTGTGTCTATGAAAATAATACTCATGTTTCATGATTTCTCTGACACATCTTGTGGCAGGTAATTCTATATCAAGTAGAAAAAAATGTAAAAAATAAGATGCATAAATCACGGTTGTCCTGATGAAAGATCATTTAGAAACAAAGTTACTTGAAAGAGGTGTGAACCCCTATAATGAGCTGCACTTTCTGAAACGTTCCCCCAGGATTTGCCATCTTTTCTAATCCGTTTTTACTCTTCCATGATTCCATGATCACACTTAGACGTCTTGATTAGATTGACACTTCAACAAAACATGGATAGATTACAAAAATGTTGCAAGAAAAAACAAAAGTTTTGTTTATGTGAATGTATCAGAATTAAGTGAACATACGATTTAATCTTTAAAATGGTAACTTCTTGGATTGAAAACATGCCAGAAAAAAAGTAAAAAAAAAAAAAAAAAAAAAATTTAAAATTTGTAATTTTTGCTTTGAAGTTCCATAAATTCATTGAAGTCTTTCCTTTAATCTAATCAAACTAAATAATTTAAACAAAAGAATGTTTTAATTCAGTGGTTCTCAACATTTTTGACTCAATGGCCCTCCATTGTCCTTAACACTATTTGAAGCCTCTTGATTTTCCAGTTGTTCACGATTTAATCATTAAGGATAATGATTTTTAAGAATATTTTTACTCACAATTTCTGATAAAATATTTTAGAGATTGCCATAACTAGAAAAATGCATATTTATAAAATGTATAAAATGACTCTTAGGTCTTGAAATTAGGCTACCTCCGTTTTCTAAAGAGTGAGGACCCTGGTTCTTCAAAGAAACAAACAGTTGTTGAGAGGCTGAATTTAAATGACAAATATCTTCATTTTTGTTTACTCCTTTTTTTGTCTTATTTTAAATCATCTTGAAAACCACTGTTTTAATTGGTATTCATTTTATACTGTTGATTTTTTTCCTGCCCTCAATTTCATCCTCCTGACTTCATCCTCTAGGAAGTGACATCATTTTGGTGGGAAAAATACAAGCATAAGCATAAACATAAGCATTAGCAAGATTAGTTGGTTTGTTTTACTCTTACTGAAAGATTTGTATAACAATTTCAAAATAGGATTAATATCAAAATGAACTTTAATTTGGCACCCTCATCTAAGCTAACAGCCCTTCTCTCACTGATTAATAGCCAACTTTAAATTTCTATTTCCATTCTATGAGACATCCTGTTAAAGGGGTCATATGACGTTGCTAAAAAGAACATTATTTTGTGTATTTGGTGTAATGCAATGTGTTTATGCGGTTTAAGGTTAAAAAATACATTATTTTCCATACTGTACATTATTGTTGCTCCTCTATGCCCCGCCTTTCTGAAACGCATCGATTTTTACAAAGCTCATCGGTCTGAAAAGCGAGGTGTGCTCTGATTGGCCAGCTATCCAGTGAGTTGTGATTGGCCGAATGCCTCAAGCTTGTGACGGAAATGTTACGCCCCTCACCATATTGTGATGCCCTGTCCGGCCGGAGCGACGAGACAACATTAAAACCCATTGTAAAACGAGGCATTTGTTGCATCCAGTGGGGACATAATTAGTGATTATAATTACTTATACTGTCTTTTTACGCATTGCGTTGCATATCGCGCCACGCAAACATAAAACCATGTCTGCATTTGTGATCGGAGAAATGACAAACAACAAGTGCTACTCTACACGGCTCAAAATTCACGTTTGAAAAAAGAGACAAACTAAACACCTTTCCAAATACTGCCATTTGAAGTTTACAGTTTGGCACTCAATTTAACTTGGTCATCAGTTCCCCACCCCAAATGGAAAATGCATTAAAAAGCATTTTTAAATGCAGTGCTAAGTTGTAAGTAAAATAAGGACAGAAACAACACACTTTTTTAAATGTCAACATTTAATGAGCGTCACCACTGTACTTCAAATCTACACTCTGAAAAGAGACCAGTGATTTTTCAAAACACAGAACACATCCACAGAGTCCTTCCGGTCCCTAAGAATCACCTCCTCTGCTTTCAGGGCATTGAATGCAAATTTTATATTATAGTCATATATGTCGTAAAATGTATTCAAATACCATTAACTCTGAGTATAAACTTCAAACTTCCTTATAAAAACTTGACAGCAAGTGCAGTACCTTCCCTATTTGGCCCGATCAAGCTTGCGTGTTAGTCTCTTCTCACAGGCTCTGTTTGCATCCGCACACTATCTTAGGTACGCCCGCTTCTTACGTTTGTACGTATTTTGTATGTTTATCTCATCCGACGGCTCTCGGTGAAGGATACCATGTTTATCGTTGTGGGTATGCTGTGTGATCTAACAGTCAAAGAACACTGGGGTGAGAACATGGTAAGGATATGATGATGGGAACCACCTCCAACCAATCGCAATTTTAATGACTTGATTTCTTTATACAGGGTTTGATAGGAATATAAAAGTCGGAAGGGACATTCAAGTTTTATAAACTCCACATAACAATAAAAGCGTGGAGGTAAACAACCAAGTCATTGAGCTCGAGAGGTAGAGACCAACAGTGTGAATCCTTTATATACATATACACAAACAGTTCAGTGTTTCTTTAAAAGAAATTAATAATAATAATAATAATAATAATAATTAAAAAGGGCTCTACTTCAATACTCATATCCACAGCTCTGCAGCACACAAGACACAATTAACATAATTGGTTATGTGTTTTTTTGTTTGTTTTTGTACTATACTGATTTGGATTATTTGTTTGTCTACACTTTCTAGTGCAGGGGAAAATAAAAAGAAGAAGAAAAGAGAGAGAAAAAAAATATGTACATTTATATGCAAGTCTCAAAAATAAAATAAAAATTCACAGCCCTAAAAATGTGCAGGTTAATTCAACTTCTATACAGCAGTATTACATTTGTTTTGTTTGGCGATTTTTTTACAGGTTTTTTTTTTTTCCGTAGATTTTTCATTTCTACCTGCTACTCACTTATTTACATACCATAGTCAGTGGATCATGGGAAAGCATGCCCTAGCACATTGAGGAAGAAATAAAAATAAATCTCTAAAAATATATTAAATATTTTCCATTTGTTTTCTTTTAGTCCAAGACAGTGACAGAAATCATTATGGGAAATTTAAGCATGGTACAGAGAGTGAAAACTACTCCCAATTACTTTCCAGATCAACAATACACACCATTTCCCAGGCATCCTTTTCAGATCCATCATCGCCTTGAGTCTTTTAACAGAAAAAGGGCTTTTGAGGGGGGTCAAAGTAGACGACACTGAACTGACATCTACAGGATCACAAGCGTGATGCCACAGTCAGTTAGAAGCATGCACGGGGTCCATACATGCACTCGCAATGGCGTCACTTGTCTTCATAGACAAGGTTTTGTAACATACCATTACAATTATGGAATGATTTGATTGTTCAACCTATTATTTATTTATTTGCTTATTATTTTTTTTATTTTTAGGCTTTAATTTCATTTGCATGCTATTCTAGATACTCCATCAGGGAGAGTATGTAGATGACCAAAGTTCAAAGGTCATCTGAAAACAAACCTCCCCATGTCATTTCGCTACATGCTAGTTGGGTTTTCAGTCTCAGTAAGAGACAAGCACCTGCGAGATTGCTGGACACGCTCACTAAGTCTCCTTCTCTTCAAATAAACCCTTTTGGTACGAGCATTTTGCCTCGGGCCAATCTTGCATGCTTTGGATCCTTTTGAGTCATTGTGCTGTTCAGTCACCCGCCCAAAGCACTAAATACTGACACAACACATCCACATTCAGGAGTACTAAGAGAAGCCTACGAATCAGTATCTCTGCCAAGTGCTGCGCTAAGGAATACTGATTTTTTTACTGACGAAAGTTGAATATGAGACGGAAAGCGAGATACGAACAAAGATAGATCGACAGAGAAAGAAAGGAAGAGTGTAGACGACAGCAAAAATGTAAGAAAGTCGTACAAATCACACCGCCGTAGAAGGCAAAAAAACGCAATGAGCAGCTCACTCTAGCCAAACGAGTGGTCACAGTTGTTAAGGTGCGTTCACACTGGTGATATTTCAATTTTGCTGCCGATTTTCGTCAATAGCGTAATGATGTATTAAGCACAGCTCACACACCGAAGTACTGTACTTCTAAACTAAGCAGCTTTCTGTCAGTTGGTGCAGCAAATTCATGTGACCAACTTGAACATCAGGAATTTTTTCGCCCCTGCACACAAACCGCACAGAATCCTGAAACAACTGGATTTTGCCCTCAAAATTCCGAGCAGCGGTTAATGTGACCGCACCTTTCATGAGGGCCGTCACCTAAATTCACAAGGCCTGGGACAAATTGATATGGATGGGCCTAATGAAGGCTACTAATGAGGACAGTGTTTTTTCGCCCTAGACGGCGACCCTGGTTCTAGCGTGAACGAAAGACAGATTCAGAGGAACTTGCCTTCTTTCTATACTACATGAAGCACTGCACTTCCTGTTTCCATGAATAAATAAAGCATGATTACTCGCACACATAGTCGTGATGAGTTTTCCTTCAGGGATACTGCACAGATTCTGCCGCCCTGCTGTTCAAAATACATTCAAGTCCACAGGGCTCGACTTCGTCTGCCGAAAGTACAGGTTCGTACCCTTCACGAACCTTTAGTATACTACTACAGAGCAGAACGGACCCCCCGTGACCATGCCCACCCGTCCCGTGTCCCGCTTGAACTCATCAGCAGTGGTTGCTTCTATAAAACTCCATTTAGTAAGTATTACAGTACGCACACACACACACATCAGCGACATGGCTAGTCCTAGACTCCAGTGAAATGCTACGCAGGTTTTGGGGATGTCTGGGGGTCAGTAGTCCAGGGGGGCGAGGGGTGGGCACGGGACGGGCTGCCAGAGGGATGTCCACCACCACTGTTATCAACGCCATCTTCTCCGCCGTCCTCAGCTACTCCCAAACTAGAGGAGATGGAGGCATCTCAGAGGGCTGAGCTACTGTTGAGCTGTGGACAGAAAGAAAGAAAGAAAGGGGATTGTTATGTCTTGCTTTAAGGATAAGAAGATGTCTCCATCTAGTGTTGAAACACTAAGAAATAAGTTGCAAAATAAGCTTGAAAAGCTCTAGATTTGTTAAGACACAAAAAGTTGCAGTAGGTGTAAGCAATAACAGTTAGAAACTATATTAAACACCTTTTTATGTAAAAAGTTTGCCTAAATATTAAACAATGGCATGTTGCTTTCAACCCAAAGCATTTTCAAAACATGGCTCCCCGTCAAAAACATGACATTCATGCTCACTGGCTTTGATCTGGCATGTCTGTTAACCCTGAAGATGAGAACATGGACGTAAATGTGAATCTCACAAAATGTCAACAACTGTCTGGCTCTTATTTCATTAAAAAAAAAAAAAATGTTTATTATGAAAAATCATTTGTTACATAAAGAAAATGAAGCTTATTTTTAGGACAAATACATTTTTCGCATTACAACATTATTTTCATAAAAATTGATCACATTTAAATCCCTGCCACAACTGGCAGGGATTTAAATCTCGAGAAAAGAAAAGAAAAAATCTCATTCTGACTTCTGATATGTAAAATCTAAATTACTTAAATAAAAATTACATAACGATATATTATTTAAATGATAAAGTATATCTGTAAAAAACACTGTATGTATACATACAAGCTGTCATACTTGTACTGAATTAAATTTATGTAAATTTATGCTGATTTTACTTATTAAATATATATATATATATATATATATATATATACGCACACATATATATTGAATATATAATATATATTCACATTACAGTGATGAGAAGCTTTGTGATGAAAAAATATCACAATGCTAAATTTTAAAGGTCCTAAACACAGGACTAATTTCTTTATGCCATTTTTTCAGTGTAAAATATAACCTGGACACTTGATCATGAGATCCACCCATAAGCAGCAGATTATGTAAAGTGGACGGTGGCCTCACCTGATAAAGCTTTTGAAGGCAGCTGATTGGGGGTTGATACAGAGCGGTACCCGATTCCCCTTCTGCTGCTCCAGGATGAACTGATGAATGATCTCTGTGTGGGGAAGAAAATAGGAGAGATGCTGAGAAATAAGGAATAAATAACAGTTTAGAAGTTACGTGCTATCATGGTTAAAAGAACAGTTCACAAAACAATTAAAACACTTCTCCTGTAGTCTTATTGAATAAAATATGGGTTTCGATTTTCAAATGACATGAGGGTGAGTAAATGATGACATGAACCAGTTAAAGGCATTTAGTAGTTCACACAATTTTGTCATCATTCCTTGTAACAAAAAAAAAGATGAAGTGATGTGACTTGCAGGATTTTGATCTAGAACTAGATCTAGAATTTTGTATTTCCAGGACAAATCTAACTTATGAATGAAACACTGAATAAAGAAATCTATTCTAGCAGTAACCTTACAGGTCAAAGAGTCGATTCTGAAGGAGGATTCTACAGGCAGACTATACTATCTGTAATATCTTCTAAAGCTCTTAACTCTTTATTTTAACATACAAGCGATTAAGCTTAAAACTAGCTCGGCCAATGTGGAAACTCCTCATGTGTGATCCAAGAGGGGTTCCCCCCTCGTTCTAAACACGGCTGCCTACCCTAAAGCGCTTTAAGTCTCCAGGCGGTCGGCTCCATCCGCACTGACTAATCCTCCAGTGGAAACACGTTGCACACAGAATGGAGGAAGAGGAGGGAGGGTGAAGGGCAGAGTTATTTTGAGCCGACAGCACAGTAAGCCTGCTTTTAGCGACAGACTCTCAGTAATATCCGCTGACAGTGGAAGGCAAGCACAGATCCAGGGGCCCCGAATGAAGGGTGAAAACAAGGGACAAAAACAACAGGAGCAGCGGGGGATCTGGAGCAGGAGACGCCCAGCAAGACTTCTGATTAACATGCGGTGGCATGACGGGCGCATGCTCTCAAATAGATTCAATTCAATTAAGACCTTTAGCTCCTAAACACGCTGTCAACAAACCGAGGGTGGATCAGGACAAAAGGTTAAATGAATAGACCAACAATGTGTGTCTCACGTGTTGTATAATATGTACAGCAATCAGCACAAGGTGTAATACAATTGAATTGATTATAAGCGCGCTCACCTTTGACCTGCCGAACTGACGTCAGGTTTTTCTCAAAGCCGTCATCAAACTTGGGGTTAGTGACAGGCTCAAAGTCACTGGTGTAGACGCGGCCAGAGGAAGTGGTGTAGCAGCATTTGCACATGCAGGTGTGGTACCGCAGACGCCCCTCGTCCAGATATGGGTGTGCCAGTGCATCTTTTGCAGAGATCCGCTTCGACTGTATTGGAAAACAGATTTGTTTGAATTGAACGTTTCTTTTAAAAATGCAATAAATCTGATCCATTTTACAGTTTTATATAGGTGAATTTATTTTTAAATGAAAAAAAAAATAAAAAAATATATATATACTGTATAAATTGCATATATTTTAAATTATTTACATAATGTATATTTTAATTTTAGTAATATATAATCATATATAGTAAATTTTTTAATTTTCAAAATGAAATGATTATAAATTATATAAATATATATTAAATTATATAATATAATTTTACATTTTAATAATAAATAAGCATAATATATATGTATATATTAAAATAAATATAAAATATAAAAAAAGGGGAAATATATATTTTTTCCATTTCGTTTCATTACAACATTGACAAGTAAACAAAAGTGTGTTTTAAAATATGAATTTAATATGGTCTATATTGATGAATTTTAGCATGTAGTTTCATTTGTAATGTTCCACTACTTTAGATTGTAATGTTACAGTTTATGAGAATAAAGTATCAAGAACACTTACTGGGTCAAAGACCAGCATCCTGCACAGGAGGTGAACGGCCTCATGGGTTGCTTGACTGGACAGAGTGTACAGGACAGGAAGTGAGGGCTGCAGGAAATGGCATGATCAGTATAGTCTCCAAGTATCTTACCCCTTTTACCAACCTTATACATAACATATTCAGAGATAGGCAGAAACAAACTAGTATGTAATCAGTGTTTCAATTTTTGAAAAGACCACAAGTCAAAAAAAAACAAAAAACGATATCGATCAACCATGTGACTAAACAAATGCAAAAACACTGTATAAAGTATGAGAATGAACATGATTTAGAAACATGACCAGTTTTGAACATTTTCATCCTGTTTTGAGAAGCAGTCAAAACATACAAACCGCTTCCTATAAGCACGTCATGTGATCCTGAGCGGCTGTTCAGCTGCACGTAACGGTCTCAAGCACGCAAGACCTTCCTCTCAGTAGCACTAGCACATGATCCTTGCGCCAATAGCCACACACTTATCTGAGGATGTGGGACAGCGAAAACAATGTGCTGGGATATTTTTAACTGCGTCTAATTATCTCCTCGATCAAATAAAGCACTTCACTATAAGTGAACAAAAATCGGCACATTGCCACTGCTGCTCCCAAAGATCAATTTATTAAAATAAAATATTAAAATGAAATGTATTTCATTTTAATAATACACTTTAAAAATAATAAATGTAATAAAAATAAAATATAAAACTACTAAATATAATGTAATAGGCTATAATAAAAAATAAATATTAATAATTAAAACATTATACAAAAAAAAAATGCTGTTTTAAGTTTCACACTTAATTTCACACTACTGTTCAAAGGTTTGGAGTCAGTTAAGTTTTTTTTAAAGATGTCTCTTATGCTCAAAATATAATAATATTGTGAATTATAATAAAAATATTTTAATAAAAAAAATCTATAATTTATTTATAATTAATTAAATTTCAATAATAAAAAATTAAATATTTTGCTTATAAAGGTTTTCTGTTTAAATGTATTTTAAAATGTAATTTATTCCTGTGATGGCAAAGCTAAACATTTTTTTAGGAGACATTACTACAGTTTTCATCCTTAAGAAATCATTCTAATATGCTGACATGGTGCTCAAGAAACATTTCTTATTATTATCAATGCTGAAAACCGTTGTACTGCTTAAAATGTTGTATAACATATCTTTATTGAGATTTTACAAAAACTCAACACAATTCATCAGAAAATACCCTAGGCAGGATTAAAAAACAAACAAAAAAACACTGTAAGCATGTATTGATTTATATCATGCAGTCCTCATAAACATTCTTACATTCCATAACTTCATGCATCTAAAGCTTCTTCAATCTCTCCATTTTTCACAAAGTCCAAAAACACCTCCAAGAGTTTCTTCCTTGTTACATACATAAGCTTTTCAAGAGCCAAACAAGATATTAAGTTTTTCAAAGGGAAGGGCAATTGGTATTTTTCCAACATAGGGCAATAAAACATCTTGCTTGTAATAGGCACAAGTCCACCAGCTTTCTTTCTTCACACAATACACACAATACAGGACATAGAGGAATTGGAGACGAAGTAAATCGAGAAACATATCGAGTCAACTGCTTAATATTTTAATTTAAAAGCCTTTACTGTCATTTTTAAATAAATTAAAGCATCCTTGATGCAGTACTAATTGCAATATTAGTATTAAAAAAATCTAACTGACCCCAAACTTTTGAACTGTAGTGTGTTTGACTCACTAAAAAGATCCACCTCATAAGAGTAATTTATTCAGAAATTAGTGCACATTTTCTGTACTGTACAGTTTTAATCCACTAAAAAAAATAGCATATAAGAGCTATACATTCAAGAATCAGACTAGATTAGTTGTGCCGTATGATTCTAATATACTAAAAACAACTTGCTCCCTATTTGTGTTGGAGTATGTGTGCCAGCTGCTAGGCTCCTCTGACAAATCTGAAAGATTATCAAATGATGGGCGTTTGAATCCAGTGGGTCAGATTTTGTGTGGGCCGAGCCGAAACTATGCCTGTGCGATTATGAGTCAAGAAGCATGCAGGGTGCAGCGATGCACCAACATGCTGAGGTTGCGTGAGCGTATGTGATTAAGGAACCATACACTCTTAAAAATAAAGGTGCTTCACGATGCCATCATAAACATTCTTACATTCCATAACTTCATGCATCTAAAGCTTCTTCAATCTCTCCATTTTTCACAAAGTCCAAAAACACCTCCAAGAGTTTCTTCCTTGTTACATACATAAGCTTTTCAAGAGCCAAACAAGATATTAAGTTTTTCAAAGGGAAGGGCAATTGGTATTTTTCCAACATAGGGCAATAAAACATCTTGCTTGTAATAGGCACAAGTCCACCAGCTTTCTTTCTTCACACAATACACACAATACAGGACATAGAGGAATTGGAGACGAAGTAAATCGAGAAACATATCGAGTCAACTGCTTAATATTTTAATTTAAAAGCCTTTACTGTCATTTTTAAATAAATTAAAGCATCCTTGATGCAGTACTAATTGCAATATTAGTATTAAAAAAATCTAACTGACCCCAAACTTTTGAACTGTAGTGTGTTTGACTCACTAAAAAGATCCACCTCATAAGAGTAATTTATTCAGAAATTAGTGCACATTTTCTGTACTGTACAGTTTTAATCCACTAAAAAAAATAGCATATAAGAGCTATACATTCAAGAATCAGACTAGATTAGTTGTGCCGTATGATTCTAATATACTAAAAACAACTTGCTCCCTATTTGTGTTGGAGTATGTGTGCCAGCTGCTAGGCTCCTCTGACAAATCTGAAAGATTATCAAATGATGGGCGTTTGAATCCAGTGGGTCAGATTTTGTGTGGGCCGAGCCGAAACTATGCCTGTGCGATTATGAGTCAAGAAGCATGCAGGGTGCAGCGATGCACCAACATGCTGAGGTTGCGTGAGCGTATGCGATTAAGGAACAATACACTCTTAAAAATAAAGGTGCTTCACGATGCCATAGAATAACCTTTTTGTCTAAATGGTTCCATAAAGAACCTTCAACATCTGAAGAACCTTTCTGTTTCACAAAAGGTTCTTTGTAGCGAAAGAAGGTTCTTCCGATTACAAAAAGGTAAGAAAGAGATGGTTCTTTAAAGAACCTTTGACTGAATGGTTCTTTGTGGACCCAAAAATGGTTCTTCTATGGCATCGCTTGAAGAACCTTTTGAAGCACCTTTATTTTTAAGAGTGTAGTGGGCAAGTTGTTGGCGGAGTAGTTGGCAGTAGTGTCCAGTGTGTGAAGGATCATGCCCTCTGGGGTGCTGTGATCGTGTGCTGTAGTATTAGCCAGTATTTAGTTATGGATTAGAGGGGAATGTGGCTTCAGACAGTTAAGGGAGGGAGAGGGCCTGTCCCTGTCCCATGATGCAAAGCTCAATTAGACAAATGATGAGTCAGGAGGGTTGACACATGACATCATCAGCCCAGGCTTTCAGTCATCCCAGGCATGCAGGCAGCTCATGTTCCGCCCCTCACATTTCTGACAGCGGGAGTAATGGACTAAACAAATTTGCTACTTTAAATCCTAAACAGGACTGGTCACAATTTTAAACCTTGCCCATGGATGTCACAAGAATTTGAGCCAGTATTAGTGGATTGAGCCTCAGTATATGACCTGACGTGAGTTTTATACCAGGTATAAATATCAGGTTCAAAACATCAAGTTTCAGGTGACCAGTAATATGCCTGTTCACACAAAAAATGGATACACAATCGATATTTTATGTTTCATTTTATGTTCTGCGGGAACTATGAGATTTCACTGTGGACGAGCCGATCACCGCTACATCAGAGACGCAGACAAGACGTGGTTGGAACAAAATTTACAAGAGAACCAAAACAAAAAGATTTGCATGGAAGAGGTTTTCTCACTCATTTATCATGTCACATCTGGTTAGGAAACTATAAAAGACTAGCGGTCAACTAAATTTCAATGGGTGGTGCAGTCATGATATTTAGAGGTCAGTGTGACCAATGTCTGACATAATATACAGTACATATATACAATATAATGACAACAAATGAGATGCACAATGTTGCTCAAATAAAAAAAAATGAATTGAAAAATTCACCCCTGAAAATTGAAACGTTTACTTAAAAAACACTTATTTAGCAGCATTTATTCAAATTCTTTAAAATATTAAAATGTATTGTTATATTCATATTTCTTATGTAGATATACCATCACAATATATTGTTATTCTATGGTATATAGAGTATATATATTGTTATTCAGCACTATTCTGTTATTTTGCACATACTAGTGTATATAATGCCTCACTGCTTTTCTCTTTGTTGTTTATATCTATATTTGTCTATTTCTATTCTGCCAATCCTTGTGTGCTGCTAAATAGTTTTTCGTTGATTTTAAACAATGGCAGTAAAGATCTATTCCTTCTATTCCTAAAATTTGCAGTTTATTAAAAGAAACAAAGGCTTATTTTACAAAATGGTTACTTAAAATGC